ATCTTAGCTGTGTTCTTTCATTATGTGGGCTTTGGGCTGTGCTTCCTTGCAGAACTGCTCCAGCTCAGAGATAATCTGAGGGTGTCTGTTGTGAACAGCTCTCTTGAGTTGATTCCACAGCATCTCTGTTGGGATAACATCTGGGCTCTGACTGAGCCACTCTAAAAGGTAGACTTTCTTTGTTTGGAGCCATTCTGGAGCAGATTTATTCAGATGTTTAGGGCCATTGTCCTGCTGCAACACTCGACTTCTACTGTGCTGAGCTTCAGCTGGCAGACAGCCACCCTGGCATTATCTTATAAGATACCTTGATAAACTTTGGAGTTCATCTTCCCCTCGATGATGGCAGGCTGCCCAGGCCCAAGGCAGCAGCACAGTCTCGAATCATAATGCTCTGTCCACTATTGCCCTTTTGATCCCAGTAAGTGTTGTGGAGTGCCAGGAGCAAATTTCAGGTGTGCATTGATGTTTCTGGAGTCACTTAGCTGTGTATCCACTTCTACAGAAAGTAGATTGTCCCCATTTATGGACAGTTTGTCTGACTCTGGACCTATGAATATCAAAACTCTCTGAGATTACTGTGTAACCCTTTCCAGCTTTATGCAAACCAGCATCTCTCAGTCTTAAGTCTTAGAAAATTTCTTTTCATCAGCAAATGCTTCTTGTAAATAGCAAAAATGTTTGACTGGTTTTTAAAATGTAGTTCTCATCCTCGCCTCCAATTTTGTTTCTTTGATTGGACTCTAATAAGCTTTTGTTGGTGTCTTTACTTCAGATAGTGTGTTTGTTGGTAATTGTAACACAGAATAAGATCTGTCCATGTTTTAAGATAAATTCATGCATAAATAAAGACAGGTTGACTTTTGGAGGCTTCACTTCTGGGAGCTGTCAGCTTGTTCATCGTTTTTACAGTCAGTGTCTGAACCAGAAGAAAATGTCGGCAGCGCATGCTGCCATAATAGTAGGTCAACAAAAATTAAGCAGCCATTGAATGACATACTCTGCATCGTGTAAGTCTGAGCAGTAGAGGAGTGGAGTGAGCACTATTCCTGCACTCAGTGGTGGTATTAGGATGGCTCTCAAAGGTGCTGTTGCCTATGTGACAATAAGTCCAGTCCCTTTTATGGGCTCTAAAAAATGGCACTTACAATTCATGCCAGTTTGAAGGGCAAATGCATTGTTTCATATTTCAATATATTTTCCCTGCAAAGGATCCATAGGGTCAGGTGATAATGACAATACCTTCTTGGAGATGATTTTACCTGTATCATTTATAGTGAGGTTAGGTTCTTTTTAATATTGCTGCTTTATTGGGTAATTTTGCAAAGCCATTATCAGGACCTAATGGGAATATGGGATTTACAGTTGTATCAGTGTGATGAGGTTCTTTGAACTGTCAGGTGTTTAAATCACTGCATTTGCCAAAATAAGATGTTTCCATCTGGTTATTGTCTTTATAAACACTACAGTTTGCAAAGGGAACATTTCCAAATCATTTCAAGTGTCACTGTAAAACTAATTAATGGATTCATGCCCACTCAGGAAATCATCTAAGGTGTATTTTGATTTTTAACATTTATTTACCCTGGTTAGGCAGAGACACCACCTCTTTGTTGCAGAAACCCCATGATTACATTTAAGTCCCTCTCAAATGTGGTACCCAGGAATTTGCAGGCTACATAAAGTCATGTAGCAGTTGCTTTTTTCGCATTCAGTCATAGAGCTGCTGTTTGTGAATTTCCCCACAAGGCTTTGTTCAAACACAGCAGGACCTAGCCAGGTACAGCCACCATGCTCACACAATATCCAACATCACGTGACACAGACACACTGTTATTCCTTTGCAGTCTGCAGGGAGGATGAGCAGACCTTTGATTTTCATGGCGGCCCAGTTTCCAGCCATTCTCTCTTGAACTGAAGCAGAGAAAATGTTGTGTGTAATGCTGTAGCACTGTTGTAATCTTGACCATGCCCTTAGCAATTTGATTGCTTCAGATATGTAGCTGGTTAGAACGTAGCCGTCTATATGAGTAGGTCTGACCAGATAAACTTGCCGAAAACACTTTGCCAGCTGCGCGACATGGGGCTTTGTTCAGACACCTAGAAGGTAGGCAAATTCCTGAGGGCCGGTGAGCACTGCTTTGTCACTTTCACCATAACATATTTAAAAATGACTTAAATTTCTGTGCAAATAAACATTACTGTGTACTAAATATACATTTCTATATCATTATACTGTGGGAAACAGTAAAATGCAAAAACACCTTCCTACTCAGCATGGCCTGTGCTCACACTTTCCCCTCATACAGTACTTGCATTCTGTAAATAATTAAATATGATTCTGATGTTCAGGAACTTTCTTCCCTCTCTCTAGGGAATGTTTTAAGGCAGTCAGATGGAGAACACACCAGTTTGCACCCGGACTTCACTGAGAGCTCCTCATTATAATGAGTCATACCTCTGATAGTGTAATACAGTAGTGTGTTTGAGTTAAACATTCACCCTTAGTGTAATGCATCAGAAATTAATTAATGCATCATTTCCCTCTCAGATCTTGATCTAAACGAATGATCAGAGATGAGCACATGAATGAGAACATGTACTTTATACAGAGTTTGTTGTAATTTTGAGGCTACAAGACAAGGGTTGTAAAATAAACAGCCAGAAAGCTAAAGAGAGATTTGAAGAAAAAATATCATAAGCAGGGATTCAGATGCAGCACATGTTGCTGCTAAGGTTAAGGACTCCATTTCCTATGGGCCACTCACACTAAAAAATTAAGCACTCATGCTACTTGTAAAGCACTTTAGGTAAAAGCATTCACCCAGTGGTGTGTTAAGATATAATGCGGCACATCCATTAGGCTGCTTGAACAAAATCTTTCACCTTAACCCCTCCCTCTTCTCTGCGACAGTACCGTCACACATCTTTGTGATATTTCCTACCACAATGTCCCTCTCACTCACTTTTTCTTTCCTACCTTCAGCCTCCTTTTATTCATTTTCTTCCCTTTATGCCAACTTTAAGACAAGAACTGCACCTTAGGGCAGAGACACCAAAGCCGTCAGTGGGCGTCTGTCAGGGCTCGTCCTCCCGGTGTGTCCCGCACCATTGCCGTTAGTGAGTCCCTGTCAGTGGCTTTTCGGCTGATTGGACATGTTGAATTGGTGGTCGGGCCTCATCGGTGAGAGACAGAGACCACTCTGATTGGCTGTTGAGCTTAGTGAATCAGTGCACTAGAAGAGATCCGTTCAGGGAAGCCCCTACAGCCTGTCCCTGTACTATCCATGATTTCACCCATTTGGTGTGGTTTAACTTAAGCTTCCACATTCTTGCTCTTCTTCTTTCCCTTTCTGAGTGGCAAATACAGATACCGCCAACTGCTCATAGGGGGAGTTAAGGTACAACGTACATGCTAGTCAGCCATTGGCTGTAGTCTGTGTGATGTGTTCAAGTGTTATTTTTCAACCCAATTGGCCCAGACAACAGCGATGAGAGGTGATGTAAAGGTCGGCCTTTGCTGCTTGTTCTTTCACATCGGCCTGGTGTGTCTCTGCCAATTTACTCCAAAAATGAAAGAGTAGTGGTTTTTTCTTTTGAAAAATGCCACAGTTGGCTTCTACAATAGACCAAGAGACTGTCAAAACCGTCCTTTGAAACAAATAAGATGACATTCCTCGATAGCACACAGAAGCAGAAAGAAAGGAAAATGCCATCCAAATAACAGCATTTACCACAGCAGTTTATTTGAACAGATTAGAAGACATTTGCTCGGAGCCAAACAATGCTACTGAGCAGAGTTCTAGCTCACTGGTAGGTTTTTCATTGTAATTGAAGCCGCTGGGGTTTTTCTAAGGGGGACAGCGTGATAAAGTTCCAGCATAGCATTGCAGGGGGTCATACTATAAGCTTCTATGATTCTTTCTTTAATGTATTTTTAAAAGTAGTATCACAGTGAACACAAAGCGGGGAGAAAATGGGATATGGGCACAGAAATGTTGCTTTCAACTGCATCTTTTTTCACTTAGTGTGCTGTGTGTGAGTCAGTGTCCTATTTCCTAAGGTATTTCTTATGTTTTTGGCAGGCAAAAGTGCTGAGTGTGTGTGTGATATGGACAGAGGGCAGCAGGTTGCATATAAGGGCCATCACACAAAGCAGGACCCCCAGCTTCTCCACCTATTACATTCACCTTTAACTGAACAGCAACAAAACTCGGTATTTCTCTCTTTTGGCTTCACGTCTGTTTTTAGTTGTGACATGCACACAGATGTGCTCAGCCCACCTGGGCTTACCGTTGCATCAGAAACAATTATTGAACTTAAGCATTACATTCTTGCATTAGATTACATTACATTACAGACTAAACACTGAAGTCTCCTGTCCCATGCTCCACAGATAGGTTCTGCCACATAAAAAATTCCACTCCTAAAACACTGCAGCCACTCATCCAGCATATCTTGAGGCAGGTTTTTGTAGTTATGATGTGTCAAATAATTTGCAAGTGCAATCATCCACTGTGAAGGAGGTGGCAAATTAATAGCTCTCCTTTGTGATTTCCTGCTAGGTCAATATATAATACAGTATATCATGTACATTCCATCGATATTGTTACGTAGTATCTAATCAACAAAGTTGAGCATTTTGGAATAAAATATCAACAGCAGTGTTGGTTTCTGCACCTTGGTGCTTATACTTTTGCTTTGTCTTGCTTTCAGTGCCAGACTCAGTTTAATTGTGATTCATTGGAATAGTTGTTCAGACTAGTGAACTATCATTTTAAGTGCAAATTAGTCTGTCAGTTGTTTTTCAATTTATCATTAAATACTTTAGTCCAAAACCCACAGATATTAAATAATGAGAAGCAGAAATTTGGTGATGAATTAACAAATTGTGAGTAATGAAAATAATGAAAATTGATGCATTTGTTTTGTTAATGAATTAGTTTTTAGCTGTGACTTAAATAAAAATATCAAACCTGTAAGTCTGTAGAAAATGACAAGTCTTTAGACATACTACTTAAACGTCTAATGGTTTCTGAATTATGCAGTGGAGAGAAGTAATATGGCCAGGTCTCTTTCACAGAAGTCATTCTGACATGTCACAGTGGGAAGAGCACAGTGTAGTTAATAAAATTTATGATGCCACTGATTCTACTGTGAAATGTCAGATTGTCTTCTGTGACAGAGGCCTTTAAAGCATTATTACATTCATATTATTTATCTGCTGAGAAAAAGGTTTAATATTATTTGTCATCACGGTAACAATTGGGAGTAAATGTTTAATAGTATCACAGTAAATGACACTGGTTTTTGTTTCTAGACAGGCCCTGGACAGAAAAACTTGAGGTTTGATTAAATGTCTCTCTATCTTCTTTCTACCCTTTCTGTGTCCATTACTTCCTTACAAACAGATTCAACCCCATTTTGGTCCATAGCCCTACATTTCATTTGCTGCTTCAGGGAATTACTCTGAGTGTCTTTAATGGTCCTCACTTCCTCAGGCTTTTCTTTTTCCAGCACTTTTTCATCCATGTCAAGGTTGTTTGTCTGTAATTACCCTCAAGTTTAAAACCAGAGATGCCCTTCAGAACCTTCATGTCTACGTGCCTACATTGCTAAAGAGTCCCCAGTATGGATTTGATCCCCCATTCAAAGCCAGACATTTGGTAATGCAGTCACATTCTCTAGTGTATCTTGAAAAAAAATGGTTGTTTTTAAAGGCAGGCTTGTATTAAGCAAGGATGTCAGCTAAATGTCAGATTGCTGCCTTGGTGTCCTTTTATATTGTCCTCCTTGCTCATCAGCCGAACTATGTCCGAAATTGTAAATTAATGCTGAATCGTGCTGTGAGCCGCTGTTTTAGCTGACTACAAAGTAAAGGCAGGCCAACTACGGTATCACCTTGGTGTTGTCCTAGTGTTTGTGGGTGTGTGGGTGTCATTGGTTTGGGTATGCGAGTGAGAGAGCAGCCGTCAGTATGTGCATGTTCTGGTTTTAATGCCATCATCATTGCCAAGGTCAGGGGACGAATACGTTCGGGCCATGTGCCAGAGCGAGCCGTGACATGAGGAGGACAAAGCTATAAAGTACCTTTGATGTGTTTTACCATAACTTTGCTACAGGCTCTCCACCCCTAAAGCTGCAGGGCGGTATAACAGCTCCTCTTGGGCCCGTAATTTAAGCTTTTATGTCCAACCTTTTGAGTACTGAATGAAAAATACACTACATTTATTTCTAATTTAGGAAATGATTGATAGGAAAATTGTATGATTTAGTTTACAGCTTTTTAGCCATGGGAAAGCAATTGGAGCCGCTCAGAGTGTGCATGAATGAATCTGCTCGACGCACTTTTAACATAACTGCTGGGTCCACTTTGTTCTGTGTGTCAGTCAGCAAACATCAGTCAACAAGAACAGAATCCTATATTCACCTTATGGTACAATTTATTTACAGTCAGCAAACATCAGTCAACAAGAACTGAATCCTATATTCACCCTATGGTACATTTTATTTGAGCATTTACCTGAGGAACATTTTGCAGTAAGCTGTATATTAGATTGCTTTTACAGCTGTAGTTCAGGTCACCGGACTAATATCAGTAACCAAGTTTGTTTAAGCCCAAATCAATTTTTATGGTTTAAATTTAATTATTTTGGACCAATCTTTAAAAGTTATTTTGATTATATTTTAAGATGACATTGGATCAATATACGCAGTCTCTATTTCTGCTTCTATTTATTTTATTGAGAAACAGAATAACTATCTTGGAGTCTAAACCTAAATAAATAAATGCACTGTTGCTCTGGTAGATTCTGTGACTTTTATTACAAATTAACCAGGAGGGATTAACATGATGTCACATGGACTGTCAGGTAACTCATTCACTGAAGACAACTGATTGTGAGGTTGAGAGTTTAGACTGCACCTTGATGTCATACCGTATGTTATGATTGAGTGAATGATGAACAGGTAAAAACAGGACAAAAAGCAAGTGTATCATACTGTACCATTGTATCTGAGGCAAAATAGCTAAAACCACATTTAATTTTGATTATTAATCTTACTCAGGTCAGTGAGTCCACCAAACCTCTAGGTTGATTATAAGAGACTAATGCAAAGGGAATTAACCAGTGTCGTAATCTGAAGGAAGGAATTCTCAGTCTAGGGAGCACTGTTCCCAAACAAGAGAAGCAACCAAAACACAACCTCTGGGTCCATGTTAATGTTATTAATCTAACTGTTGGGTAACAGTCAAAATTAACATGCAGTAATGTACATCAGGATAAATGGAATTGGACCTGGTCATAGTATCTGGGACAACCTGTATGAGATAATTTGGAACTTGATGAAATCACTGTTTAGAAAAAAGCAATGGAAAGAGAGAGAGAGAATCTGTGATCACGACCTACACGTTGTGTCTGGGATAAAAGTCATAATAAAGAGACAGTGGATTGTAATTTGCTGATTGATCTGATTCTGATTCTAACAAGAACTAACAAGAACCAGCCCAAGCACAGAGGAGAAAACTTAAAATGCCTGCTTTGGCTGATGCCTTAGAGCCCTGGAGCGAGAAGCGGTCCAGCGCTCTCACTGACTGGAACCAGTGTGGAGAGAGGTTGTTATGTTACTGGTTGCAGGAGCAGTCCGTGTGCTCCCAGATGCTTTCAGGATTACCTGACCTGTGAAGTAGTGTTTGTCATCCGGCCACAGGCGGCTCTTCTCAGCTTGGTGGCAGAGAAGCCGACTGAGTAGCTGGCTTGTTCAGCAGTGGGCCCAACAGTGTAGATTTTAGACAGCTGAACTCTATCAAGGTTGCAGCCTTTGTTGGTGGGGTCCGTATAACCTGTGTATCAACCTAATCACCGCAATATAACTGTGATGAAAATGTGCAGTTCAGGTTCCAAGGCAAAAACAATACAATACAAAACTCAGAAACTCCAACGCAAAAATCACTAACTTTGGCCATCTACACTTTAGGCTTGTTAATAACATTAAAATGATGCTGCTTGACTTGTTACAAAAAATATTTCAAAAGTTGGAAGAATGCACACAGAGGAGAAATGAATCTTAACAGAGAAACTAGAACAACACGCAAACAAAGATTAGACTGTGACAATGGAGAGGGACAGGATCTGATCAATAAAACAATCATGGTGATAACACATTTATTTTAAGATGTCTAATCTTGCAATACAATTTTCACAACATTCAATAGCTAGTCAATATTTCCTCATTAAAACCTGATGGTTTACAATCTCGCACAGGAATTGGAAGCTGAAAGAAAAAGGCATTACAGCAACACAATTAACAGATTTCACACCAACCTAAATATACCAAGCAAAGCATAAAATGTGAATAATCTATTACTGAGCTTGATGTATAAGTAGAAGACATATTTTTTATGCAGTATAAATAAAAAATACAGCATTTTTATTCCAGTTTTATTCCTGCAAATGTTCAGCTTCAAACCTCGGACTTTACACAGGCACTGTTTGCATCAGATACAGAAAAAATGAATTTGACTCTCGGCCAGCCAAAGTAACCCGAGAGTCAAGTTTATTCCATGTTTTTTAGGTTAGATGATGGTTTTAATATCAAAGCCCAGATGGTTTGGAATCCATCGATTTTCCAGATCCCCCTGTGCAGACTTAACCAGGCACTCATCCAATGGAAAGCCTGATCCGTGTGAGATTTGATCAGACAACATTTATCCTCATTCCGTCAGTGACGTCCTTCATGCTCCAGACCATAGACACAAAAGGATCACTGATTTTAGTACTAGGGTTGGTTTGACATAATTATTCCTGAAATATAAAAAGGATTCAGTGTCATCGCTTATCATTCTGTATTTCCATCATATATATATATTTTTTTTCTCAAGTAAACTTTTAATATCATTTTCATGGTTTCTCACAGGAAAGATTTTTTTCTTGTACGTGTTCTGAGAGTCTGAAAGAAAAATGTAACTGTTCAATTTTTTTAAATTCAAACCAGGATGTGATGGTATTCATTGGCGGATTGCTTGAAAATTCCACTGAGCGGCTCATCATGGAGCTTTCTGGACATTGTGGGGATGTGGCTGCCATCAGAAGGAGCAAAAAGACCTTCAGTGACATCAGATTTGCTGGAGAGCGGACAAGGTTTCTCTGTGGTAAGATGTTATAGGTGCTAAGACATCTGTAGTTCATATTGTTTGTGTGTGTGTGTGTGTGTCTGTGTATTTATCAAATCCTCATTGTTTTGCCATGAAAACCTCAACAATCTCTCAACCTTATTTTTAGGTACTTATGGGTTTCCATTAGGCCTAAAGGTCAGAGGATAACAGCTTTCTTTCTTCCTCACCTAGACAGTATTGAATCTGTTGAGACCACTTCTATTGTCAATCCACTGTTATCAGTGCACCCAGCCCTCTCTCTGTGCTCCAGCACTTCTTCACCTCAGGTGGAGGAAGAATGATGAGCTGTTAACCTTTCTTCCGATGGAAATGAAAGGGCTGATATCTATCAGTCAGAACTAAAATTCTCCAGCCTCACACATTCACTCGGGACCATTTGACAAATGGATAAATAGATACTGTAGAGTGAAGGTTGGGCAGATAGATGGAAGGTTACTGCTCTTCATACAGATTGTTTGGAAGTTAACAACATCAGAGAGAGTTGTGCAAGCCACGAATCAAGAGTAAGACAAAAGTAGACTCATGTTATCATAGCAGTGCATCTCTTATTGTATATTAGTTTGTTTTTTCTACATTTTTGGCTATGCTCAGTGTTGGGGAGCAGTGAACTACATGTAATTAAACTAGTACCTTAACTACATTTTGCAGTAGCTTCCTGGTAGTTGAACTACAATCATATTCGCATTGTGGTTCAAGTAATTAAATAACTTTTGGTCATTTTTGTGTCATTAACTATTGAAACTATAAGATTTTGGGCTATTAAAAGGATTTTTGTTGTATCGTTTACAACAAACATACAGTATAACTTTCCTTGCAAGTTTGTCTCCGTGAAAAGCCCAGATGGGATTGTTTAGTTCAGGACAGTGAACAAAATTTGGCTTTTGTTTTTAATGTTTTGAACATATCAATTAGTCTTAAGTATTGATTATTGCTATTTATTAACAAATGTTCAGGGAAGTTGGTGCATGGTGTTTCAGAAGTTAGAAGTGAGTAATCCTACTTGGTGCCGTTTATTTTATTTTATTTTATTTTATTTGGTTTATATATGACATGGGAACATGTGGGCACTTTTGCAGTGAACTCAGTGAAGTGGCACTTTTTGCTGCTCCTGTATTTTATGATGTTGTAATATTTGTTCTGCACTTGGTGCATAAATCCTCTATTGTGTATATGGAGTAAATAATCACAAATTTTAAAATGTTCTCTATCATAAAGGCTCAGTGAAGATTTGTGCACATACAGTATAGCTGAAGTAGAACAGTGGAGGTGTAAAGCTTTAGAAGCAGGTGTATGACTGGAAAGTCGGTGCTTCCTTGAGTTAACTTCTATTTCACCTCATCTCATTACTGAAAGGGAGCCTACTGCTGTGCTGTTACATTTTTTTGATTTATTGGGAGAGAGAGCAGCAATCGTGATGAGCAAAAGGTTCACCGTGGAGATGGCTTTGTTACGTACTGTATGTAAGGAGAAGGCTGTTGAGCCCATTCTTCAGCTCTCAGTGTTGTCTTCACTCTCAACAACATCAACAGCAGAAACCTGAAGGTGAAAAGAGCAGCATAAGTTTACCAGTTACAGTTGTTGCTGTCACCACATGCATCTTCTTGGCCCCTGTTTAGTCAACTGGTAAGAGGAGGTGCATGTTATCTCTGGTGTAGGCTGTGGTGGAGCCCTGTGTTCATAGACCCTGACCCTTAACACAAAACTAGATCTCCACGTCTCTCGGTTTTCCTTCACACTCTTCTTCTTTTACATTCATTAATAGGAGTCATAAAGGCTTGAGGTGAATAGCCCTTTTCCTTAAAATGAAACATTTTCACCTTGTATGAGGCAACTTTGACTCAGTTTGTCACTTCAGGAGTTGAGGCCTTTCTTTGCATTTACTGGATTTGTGCAGCGTCTGAAGCTTTGAGTTTGAACACACCCTTATATTAGAATAAATGTTTCACTCTTACAAGTGAAGCCCTGATGGAAGACTGCAAGCAAATTAAATGATCAGTGAATTATTTTCTTACATTTCCATGTCAGGTCTTATCTACATACAATCTGAATCACAGTCATCATGTATTAGAATCAGTCACTGACACCCTGATATCAGTGGATACACCGTATTATAACCAAGGTTAATGACAACTCTCTCTTATCCAGTTACTGAATTAACGAACCACAGTTCCACCGGTTTTCATCCATTACTACATAAACATCAGTGACTCTCACAGGCCCACACCACCACACATGAATTTTCTCACATTTGAAACTCATCACCCAGAGGCATGCTGCTTTCTGTGTTCATTTAGAAAAAGGTCTTTCTGCTTGTCATGTGACACCAGCTTATGATTTTAAAAAAATCTTCAACCAGCAGATGCCTTAAATCTCTCTTTGTCAATTGCTGACCATATATATTCATATTCCCTCTTCACAAAGCTCCCCTAAAACACCAGCTACAGCAATAATACCCTCTGCATTATTTAATGTGAGTGTGTGCCTGGATGTGTGTCTGTGCATTTTCATCTACCTGTTCCCTACAGTGAGACTGGAACTACAGTATAACTCCATATATTAGCTGAATGGCAAACCTGTGTAGCTTTCTCATAAATATCACTTTTTGTACACTGTGGGCTCTTCTCATGACACACACACACACACATACAGCAGTCCTAGCACACTAACGGTATTTTATGTCGTACTGCTGAAGAAAACTCAGAGCCACACTAACGGTATTTTATGTCGTACTGAAGAAAACTTAAGCAGGAAGAGCAGGCTTGAAAAAACTCATGTCATTCTTTTGTACACACTAATATCAACTTTGTCCTTTTTGAAGGAAAGGCTGGCACCAGACCTTGTACTGCAAACACTCCAGCCTCTCACAGATCACTCACACCAGTCAATTAACAAAACCAGAGTGATTGCACTTTACTCCTATAAAATGCAGCAGAATGAGCTTGGAGTGTCAAGTGAGAGGTAGTAGGGTGATACAGGCCTATCGCTGTAATTTGTGGCTCCCACTCTTGTACATGCAGAGTAAGAAGCTTGAGGGACTTGCTCAGCTTTAAATTTGTTTGTCGGTCAGTTCTCCTGGTGCGGAGCTGCAGTAACAAGACACTGAGAACAAAGAAGATGTGTAGATCAGGGGGTTCTTTCCTATCCGCAGAAGAGGACAAGCCAATCAATTTAACCTTGTCAGGTACCTGTTTATGTGAGTCTCAGTGTACCCTTTTGTCTTCCTATCTGTTTGCTGTGTATCAGCCTATGTCTGCTTTTTATACTGGCTGTGCTTATCTATATACTGTGCATCTAAATCAGGGTAGATGTGTGATAAAAGTGGACACATCACCCTGCTGCCGCCCTCATGCAATCAATGAAATTACTCAGCTGTGTTCACTCCCTCTCTCTACTGTCCATCTTTTCCTCCCATCTCTCTCTTTTCTTAATTTGTCCTTTCTGCTCTGAGATGCCTCCTCCCTCCTCACCGGGTTATTGTATCCGTTTGGGCTCCAGCACAGAAAGAAAAGACACTGACTGAGTTCATGTAGATTTTGTCCAGGCGGTGAACCAGAGATGTCAGTTTATACAATAGGTACCCTGATGGTGAAATGAGATGTAATTTTTGTTTTGTATTGTTGCTAAAACACCTCAGGAGTGTCACCACTTTAAATTTGTGAAACTTGGATTTAAGAAAATATTCTGCGATGAATGTGGACTGACCCTTTGGGCACACTTGCTGTAAAGCCCTTTGATGAACAGTGAATTACTGAAATAGTTGCTGACTGGATGGATGGATAGATGGACAAAAGACTGCAACAGATTTTTCGTTAAATCCTCTCGTCATTTTATTTAATATGTTCTCTTGATTCCCCTGAAGATGACATTTGGTTCTTATGGCCTTGTTGATTTAATACAAGAATGCAGATTGAATCCTTTTAGCTAAATAACTTCAATTTTTACACTTTTAAAACATGACCTGGTGCACAACCATGCAAAGATGTAAATATGTTTAAGTTGATTTAAAGCCAGCAGCGACATTAGTAATTTCAGCACACTTGACATTCCATTAAGTGTCTCATAAGAGTGTCTCATCCTTCCGCTCCCTGCTGAGAAGTCAAAGTGAAATGATACTTGTTTTTTGACTGCAAGTTGTACTATGATTTGAAATATTAAAATGTGCTGTGTGATTTGAGAATAACTGCGATCAGTGCAATTACAGCATGCAGAGGGAGAGGGTGGGCAGGAGGGGCTTCTGGGATGCCAGGATATCTTGTAAAGCTTTGTGGATTCTTAACGCAATCAAACATCCATGACCTGAGATTCCTTGTTGGTCACCAGTGAGATTGTAGTGCTTACCTTTCTGTCTTTGGCGCCAAACCTAGGAAGGCAGTTTGCCTAAAATAATACAAGAGATGTACTAGATCTAGATGGAGTGTTGGAACTTTTTGGTAGATATTGTTTTAGCTGATTTATCTGCTAATTATCCACTTAACAAGCACAATTCTTATGTGGGGCAGCACAGCGGTGTGGTGGATAGTGCTGTTGCCTCACAACAAGAAGGTTCCGGGTTCTACCTGGGGCCTTTCTGTGTGGAGTTTAGCATGTTCTCCCTGTGCGGGTTCACTCCAACTTCCTCCTACAGTCCTAAAATATGCATCTTAGATTGATTGGTGACTCTAAATTGCCCATAGGAGTGGCTGTAGTTGTTTGTCTACATGTCAGCCCTGTGATAGACTGGTGACCTGTCCAGGGTGGACCCCGCCTTTCACCCAGTGTTGGCTGGGATTGGCTTTAGCTCCCCCATGACCCTATTCAGGAAGCAGTATAGATAATGAATAGATGTTCTTATCTATTTATCAGATTTATGGAGGAAAGATCAGTTTGTTCCTGAACATCACTCATTTTCCAGTAGACCTACTTTTATTTGATTGTTCAGTTCTCATATTTTGGAGGCTGTGACAACAGAAATAAAAGTATCACAGATGAAAATGAATTGAGAAAAGTTTGGTTTCACAGGAAAATCATATGCAGCACCATTTGCTGAGATGTTTCACAGATTTACAGCATTTATTGCTTTTTACTGCAATTGTTCACAGAGCTTCCTGACACGTTTTTCAAACTTGACACATGTTGCAGTAAAACAGTTTTTTTTTGTCTGGAAAAATTGTGATTTTTTTTCACGCTCATTCTCTGCAGGTTTAAAGTGGCAGTGCCATCTTTTCCTTGTCAGAATAGCTCTGATTTGTGAATAAAAAATAAAACACACAAACAAAGAGGTGTATTCCAATGTAATACAACC